TTTCCTCTTTAGGCTTGGCGGTTATTTCTTGATGGTTGTGAAAGTTCAAGTGCCATTGATTTGGTTTTGATGATTAATAACAAATCCAATTATGTGAGACTAATATTTTTATAAACATTTGTTTGCCTAGTCTCATGTGGATATGAAAGTGGAGTGTTGGTGGACCTAAATCACAAGGATGAAATGCATGGAGATCAAGCTATATGTATCAATCTTTCTCTTCATGTACATATTGATATGTTCGTATATAATATTTCCACGTGATTGGCATATGCATGTGAGACTAATGTTTTGTTTGAGTATTATCTCTTATTTAATCTATTTACATTGAGAACGTGGAGATGATGAAGGTATGTTTTTATTTTAATATCTATATTTGAGAAATGCCTTCTATTCTTGTATAGGATAAGCTCTCAATGTTTAATATCTTGTTATGCATACTCTTGCTTCACACAAATATTTTGTATGCATACATTTAGGGGGAGCAAATCCTATACTTTAGTTATGCATGTAATCGATCCAAGTTATTCACCTTCATTTAATTGGGATCTTTATATTTGAGTATATGACACTTGTGGTGTTGATTAATACTCATCATTTATTCATATACTTTTATACATGCGATTGGTTGGTCAACATGTGAAGGTTGACAACCGGATCATTGGGACTAATAATTTTATTGAGTTGAATGAAAGAAATAGGTCCAAAGGATTACAAAGGTGTTGATGTTCAAGTGATATCATTACACTTAACAATACCAAGAGTGACAAAGTGAAGATATTGAAGATGTGTGATACGAAGTGGCTATTATGGCAAGACGGTGAAGGGCAAGCGATGCTCGGTCTCGATGGACCATGCGACGGTGAAGGGCAAGTAAGGGGCTTGGCGCCGAAGAACCAAATCCGGTGGTGAAGGGCGAGTGACGGCTTTATCATGATGGACCGTGCGAGACCATTTGAAGCTACAAGTAACCGCATCAATCGTTTGAAGAATATATGGTGAAATGGTATCGGCATTGGCGTCCCTCAAGACAATGAAAGAAAGATGAAAAAAAGGCATTCCTAATGGTATAATTATCTTCTTATTTACATTTGAGTCTAGGAATGCCGTACTATTAAGAGGGATGCAACGTCGAGGTGTTTGTGTATGTCTTGGTGCTCAAAGTGACCTATCATAGTGCTACCTTGAGAGAAACCCAAGATTTAACCTATCATTTGAGTGGTTTTAGACCTTGTTTTTGGTTGAGTTGGGTAGTCCTCTGAGTGAGCTTTCCATAGAGTCCAAGTTCATAAAAAACAGACTCCCGAGCGAAAAGTTATCCGAGCGAAAAGTTATAGTCGTTTTACTCTGTGCTTTTTGGAAAATCCGAAAAATTACCGGAAACTCCGAAAATTTTCGGACATTCCGAAAATGGCTGCGAATCTGAGATTTGCTTCTATAAGTTTTCGGACTTGTCCAAAAATGCTTTTCGGAAACTCCGAAAATTACAGTCTTGGCCTCCAACAGCTAGTTTTTAAGGGGCTCGGGTATATAAACTCCTCCACCCCTCCTTTGAGTGGCTGCTGCTCTTGGGGAGTATTAGACACATTCAAAGCCAAATAGCCATCCCCATTTCTCTACCTTTGTGGTGCCTCTTTGTGAGGGGGATTTGAGAAGGGGGGAGAGTTGGATTGAGAGAGTGAAGAATTGAGAGCTAGTGAGCTTCACTCCATCCTTTGTGGTGCCTCTTTGTGAGAGGGATTTGAGAAGGGGAAAGAGTTGGATTGAGTGATTGAGAAGTTGAGAGCTAGTGAGCTTCACTCCATACTTTGAGCACTCGAGTTCATAGCAAGCAAATCTTCGATTGTGTTTGTTACTCTTGGGGACTAAGATCTACTAGACGGCTAGGCGTCGCCGGTGAGCACCCAAGGTTGTGGTGTGCCACGGAAAGTTTGTGAAGGCTTCAATTTCGCCTCCGCAAGGGAAGAAATCAAGAGTGAAACCGAGGAGTGCATTTGTGCAACCTCGTGAGGAAAAGGTTGAAATAGGCCCGGCCCTTGTGGCTCCTCAACGGAGACGTAGGATCCGTGGATCCGAACTTCGGGAAACAAATCACGCGTCTCCTCTCTTGGTTTGCCCATTTGTGCATTCTCTCATATTGTGCTTGAGCTTGTTTTTACCTAATCTACTTGCATGCTTAATTGATTTAGTTGGTGACCTTATATCTTGTTTAGATACCTTATTTGTCACCTTTTTTATTCATATACATTTTGTTTATTTGAGCTACAATTTCATAGCTAGTAGTGTTTTCTTCCATTATCCGCCGAACTTTTCGGTTGAGACCGGAACTTCCAATCTCATATCGGAAGTTACTATTTGAACCGAAAGTTCTCATCATTCTAATATGCTATGAAGTTGTGATAATTTTTAGGAACGCCTATTCACCCCTCTCTAGGCGACATTAAGGTACTTTCAGGTTGGTCAATAAGATGGATACTGTATAAAATATTGGCGATTATAATTCTATTATTGACGGTTTCTAGCTAAAATTCCTGATTCTTGTAGTGTCGCCACTGGTGCTTCGTACGTCTTGCTCAACGAAGCAATATGTAAGCTCGCCACGAGGAGGCCGAGCAGCGGCCATGGCGGAGGAAGACCAAATCTCATGGGCTGTCTTTGAGCTGAAGACATCCTGAATTGATAATGTAACAATGTACTAACCATACTTTAAAAGATAATGATATAATTAATACACAACTAATGAAAGTGTAAATACACATAGATTGTAGAGATAAAAATTCACCAGGGAGAATTCATGCATGAACCAGCTGCCAGTGAAACCTCCTCAAAAATCATATCAGCACAAGCAAAGTAACAAGAGGCAGCAATGTTGGATCTAAATATTTCATCTTCTCTATTATATATTATTAAAAAACAATAGCGCTTCTGCCTCAAATTTATGTCCATTTCTGCACGCAGCAGGGTTCGGAGTTTAAAACTCCGACTTCCCATTTGGGTCACTAGTAAACATTAGGCCATCAAAGTGGAGGAGGAGAGGAGGAGGAGGTGGAGCGCCGATGACCTCTTCCGGCCAACCGGTGAGGCCAGGCAATAGCTTGATGGGAGGCGGTGGGGCAGGAAGCGGTGGAGCGCGTCGTGGCATCGAATCGTCGGGAAGGAGAAGAAAGGAAAAGAAAGAGGGGGTTAGGATTAGGGGAGCGTGCATAAATCTTAAAGCAATTTAATGATCTAACAATTATAAGATTTAGATGGTTTTTTTAAGACATTCCCTTAAAAAAATAAAAACCGAAGATTTAGATGGTTTTTTTTTAAGACAGTCCCTTTAAAAAAAAGGTGTGACCAGCTGAGGGAAGAGAAAGTCATTGTCGACCGGAAAATAAACTGCTTGTGTTCTTGTGTGTTGTCGACCTTGGTACGGCTGCGTTCTGGCAAGGCACATCATGAAGCTCAGCGGGGTGGGTCGGAGATCAAAATTTCCGACCCTATTAGGGTCTCTACTGGCCGTTGGATCAAGTTATGTGACTCAGATTGAGTAGATCAGCTGCTCAAAGCGTACTCAACGAATCGCAATTGGGCCGAGTGGTAATTCGATGTTTCTGTTATTAACAGGGGGTCGGCGTTTAAAACTCCGACCACCCTTTGCGATTTATATGTAGTACGTTACACTGTCTTCTTCTTTTCTTGCGTGCTTGCTTTAGCCTAATATTCAGCTGAACGAAATCCTGAAAACCAACTAGCGTTTTAAGCTGGTATCTTTGAGCCAGTTTATATCGAAGTACGTTACACTGTTATTTTCGAAGCTGCTGATAGCCTTCGTATATGGTTGCATGTAAGATGACAGGTGTTTTACTGAAACTCTGCATATCGTCAGTGAAAAGATTAAGCAAGCAGCAAAAGATGAGAGTGAAGAGTGTTGTTTGCATGTTTCATGCGGAAGTGTATAAGTAACACACAATCACGCTGCGGCAGTGTTGTAAGGTGTAGAGAATATATAAATATAGTCTTGTTTAATCCCATGGGCCTTGTGCCCTTGTCTTCTTTGAGTAATTTGAGCACGAACTGAATCGAATTGTAACACTGTATACTACGCACTTTCTTTACCTATTATAAAAATTCAAGGTGTTTTTTGCCAAGGATTTTAGTACGTCACTGCGAGATCGTGTCGGACACAGTTATCGTAAACTTCCGACGTTCCCGTTTCATTCCGTTTTTTTCATCTGTTGAAATCGCTCGCATCGGATGCAAGAATCATGGAGCTAAGGAGACAACCCGGCTGCTCACGAAGATACAATAAAGCGGCGAGCCCACAGGCCCCAGCCCACAACCGCACGGCCCCACCAGGTGATAAGCGACTTTATTTTTGAGTTTTTCCCGTCCTCCCTTTTCCTCTCGTAACACCTTGATCGCTCGGTTGTGCACGTGGCTGATGGCCCAGCGAGATTCAACGGAGAGGTGGATCAATCTACTCATTTATCCTTCCTCGATCCATTATGCCTTGAGTTGTGTTTGTATGCTCGGTGTAGATATCATACTTCTGCAGACCTGGCTACCAGTTTCAGCTCATATTGAATTCAGGAAGTGGTGCATATCTCTACTATTATAAAAATTGAATATGTTTTTGTCTGTATTCTGTTCGCTTTTGGAAATACTGATCCGTGTTTGAGACGGATTTTAAGTTCGTTTGCTTTTAAAAATAAGGACCCGTGCTTAAGTCGGATCTTTTAAAAATACAAAAGGAGTCGTATAAGAAATATCTTTAAAAACACGCATGCTAACTTGAGATAAATGCCGGATTCCTAATTGCAGCTCATGGTTTTCTAACAAAAAAATATCCAAGTGAATTCCCACAATAAATTTCACATTAGCTAAACCGTATAACAATAATAAGATTTAAATAGTATTCACCTGTTGCGCAACAGAGCATCTTTTCTAGTAAAAATTAATATATAAAGGTGTTAATACACACGTAGATAGTAGAGACAATTCACAGGGAGAATTAATTGAGTATTGGCCTGCCAGATCAACCAGCTCAGAAACCACACAGCAGAAGCATAATAAGGTAGGCAGAAATGTGTATAATTTGATCTAAATATTTCATCTATATATAATAATTCACAGAAGCAAAATGTTGCCAACAGAACAATGCTGCTGCCTGCTGGTTTGCTGTGAGCTCAGTATAGTACCATTTAGGACAAGGAATAAAAGAACAGCAAAGGTTATCAACTTCCCAAAGAGTGATGACCTGTTTTGAGAAAATCTCTTTCCTGAACTTTCTTGTATTGGACATATTTCTATTGAATAAACATCATTTGGTGATCATTGTTACTTGATCACAACAAATTCAGTGACTTTTGTTACTGATGAGTCTGAAGAATCACTGTTAGCATTTTACTCGCCCTTCTGCTTCCTGGTTCGCCTCTTGGGGCCTGATGAGCTTGTACACCTTCCGACAAACTTGAGAACCTCGTCGATGAGCACCACCGGGAGTGCAACAAGCAACACCAGCAGCCACTCGTTCAAGCTGAGCGGCACGATGCCAAACACTTGCGCGAGGAACGGCACGTAGAGGATCAAGAAATGGAGCCCGAACGACACTGACATGGCGAGGAGCAGCCATGGGTTTACCCAAGGAGGCATCCTCAGGAGGCTAGTGTCTTCGGAGAGGGCGTTGAGTGAGTTGAACATCTCAATCGCCACCAGGACAGACAGCGAGAGCGTTGTCGCCTTCACTTTGCCACCATGGAAGTACTCGCATGGATTGTCATCGAAGGTGAAAGTCCTAGCTCCAGCAGTGAAAGGCGTAACTGTGAAGTTGTTCCAGGTAGAGCACTGGCCCCAGTTTGAGAGCTGAGAGTAGCTGACAAGGGTGTGACCATCTCCGGTGAGGTCAATGCCCATGAAAGATCCATGTGTGTACCATATGACAAAGATGCCGACCGTGGCAATCCCCACATAAAGGCCAATGACCTGCGAATAAGGTATAGCTCATGAGAAATCATCTCAAAATGTAAGGCCAAGGAGATGAATCATTTTTGTCATAAATGATAGAAGATCAGAAAGATCATTTACCAGGTAACGGAACAAAATCCAGGGAGTAATCAGTGAGTCATCACTCTTTCTAGGCGGTTTCTTCATGATGTCTTTATCAGGTGGATTGAAACCTAATGCAGTTGCAGGAGGACCGTCGGTGACAAGGTTTACCCATAGAAGTTGAACCGGTATCAACCCCTCAGGAATACCCAGAGCAGAAGTTAGGAAAATTGACGCAACTTCACCAATGTTTGAGGAAATCATGTATCTGCAGCAGTGAAGAAAGACAGCTAGAATCCTCAGAACAGACAAAAAAACACGATAACTTGCACAACTATGAGGTGCAAATGTAGATGAAACAATGTTTTACTGCAGCATTAGTCTGTTTGTTTCTGCCAAAATAGAAGTGACAAAAGCAAGTGTTGAAGCAAAAAGTGAGAACAACAACAAAAACAGGCTCTGAGATCACTAACCTGATGAAAGCTTTCATGTTGTTGTAAATAGACCTTCCTTCACCAACTGCCGCAACAATGGTACTAAAATTGTCATCAGCAAGAACCATGTCAGAGGCCTCTTTTGCAACCTGAACAAAAGAAAAATAAGTGAGATACCAATTCAAATTATGTCACAGATATCAGTACTTTTGGGACAATAAAAGACCTATAAATTCATGTTATCTCTAACCAATGTTGTTCAAATTAACTCAGAACAGTATAGATGATTAGCTGAAATATTGGCAGACAAGTACAAAGGGCTAACAACCAAAAAAGGACTGAAAGGGAAATGTCATGAAAATTTTAAGGCCTGTATATTTCTGCACAGGAAATTAAAGAAAGAAAGCACTGGCTGAAAACAACCTATGGTGCTGAAATAAGTACATACCTCAGTGCCTGTAATACCCATTGCTACTCCAATGTCAGCCAGCTTTAGCGCAGGGGCGTCATTAACTCCATCTCCAGTCATAGCAACAACTTCACCATCTTCTTTGAGCAGTCTCACAATCTCTTGTTTGTGCCTAGGCTCTGCCCTAGAGAACAGTAGGCCACCTTTCCTTCGCAGCAGTGTCTTCTTGTCCTCAAGTGCCATGAACTCCTTTCCTGTAAGACTCTTTAAGGTAATGTCCTCGTCATGTGAAAACACACCAATTTCACGGCATATTGCTTCAGCAGTTTCTTTGTTGTCTCCTGTTATCACCATAACACGGATGCCTGCAGCTCTGCAATCTTCAATAGCATCAAAAACCTCTTCCCTTGGAGGATCCTGTCATATTTAAAACATCAATGAGAAAGATACATTAATACTGTAAGAAGATAGGTTGCCAAGAAAAGAAAATTACACAAGATGATCATTGATCTTAAATACTGGTCCCCAGCAAATCACTTTCTGTATAATTGATGACTGTACTTGTTTGGATTAGCTTATCCTAGCTATACAGAATTCATGCTTAGCCTTTTCTGTTATCTCCTAGTCAAGTATATCTTATTTAGACCTTATATGCCTTGAAGTCCATAACCGTGCTTACTATGCATATTTTGTTGAACCAAGAAGAAACAGGAATTTTCCTTGATTGGAGTTAAAAAAAAAAGGAAACAATCTGGTTGAAAACATATCATGAGAAGCATCATCTTACCCTTAGGCCAGCAAGACCAGTGAATATCAAATTGGTCTCAATTGCTGCATAATTGACTGGATCCAGCAAAAGCTTGTGAGCGGGGTGGTTTTCACCATCGTAACTTGCAAATTCTGCTAGATCCTCTTTGTATGCAAAACCAAGGCAGCGCAGAGCTTTAATTGACATTTCATGGAGGTTTTCCAAAATAGCTTTCCTTGATTTTTCATCTAACGGCACAACTGAACCATCCTGCAGTTGAATGTGGCTACTCCTCTCCAGCAAGTTTTCAACAGCTCCCTGTTATTAAGAACACAAAATCAGGCACTAATGACAACGCCAACCACTGGAACATACTAAAAAGATGCAGTGAACAATACATGTCCAGCAGATCAGTAAGAGATGACTATATAGCAAGAAATAAAGAATTAACACCTTCACAAGTAGAGCATTCCTTCCTGATTTGGACTTAACAATTACTCCCATTGATTTCCTTGTACGGTCAAACTCAAGAGTAGCAATCCTCTTGGCAACATTGCTCCACCATTGGCAGCAGCCTGTTAGCAAACAATTTCATAATCAGCTCAGTGCGTGATTAGAAGAATATCCTAATTAAGAAGCACGTAGTTGAAACTGATAGGTAATACTAAGCTAAGCCGAAAAGGCATTTCTAGCTTACCTAATGTTTCAGATGGATCCAAGGACAATCCGTTCATTCCTTCAGGTATTCCCATTTTCTCAACCAAGACCTAGAAGAAACCAATAAAGAAAAGTTATATCAGAGCTTTACAACAGAATGTTTCCAAACATCAAGCAGCATTATCTGAATTAGAACCAACACATGCCAGAACGTTACTTTCAGTAGGCAATGTTCCTAGACTGCTCAAATCATGATTGAAAAATGTGCAACTAGTGGATTAACAAACTATGCACCATATTCTTGGACCAAAAACTGGAGCATTTTAACAGAATGAGAATATCATACAGTTTATCGATTCTCACCTTTAAAGCTGCCTCTGTCGGCATTCCAGTTGCAGTATACTGATGTGAAGAATGTGCCACACTGGCATCATTGCACACAGCAGAAATCTTTGCGATCGTCTGAAGGTTTGCATCCATCCTCCCTGCAGGCCAATCGTGAATTCTACCATCCCGGGGATCATATGTCGTCCCATCGACCTTGAAGCTCCTGACCTTCCCTTCAGCATCTCCGATCGCCACAAGTTTCGCCACGGACATCTGGTTCGTTGTCAGCGTCCCGGTCTTGTCAGAGCAAATCACGGTGGTGCATCCCAAGGTCTCCACACTTGGAAGCTTCCTGACAAGAGCATTCTTGGCGGCCATCTTCCTTGTACCAAGTGCAAGGCACGTGGTGATCACGGCAGGAAGTCCTTCCGGTATGGCAGCGACAGCGAGCGCCACAGCGATCTCGAAGTAGTATGTGCACTTCTCGAAAGAGAAGCGGATGTTCCTCGGCATCCACCCATCGAGCTCAAACGTCAAGAAGTACTTGACATTGATGAGCCACACCAAAGCGCAAATGAGGCCGATGATCTTGGTGAGCGCCTCGCCGAATTCGTTGAGCTTCTTCTTGAGCGGGGTGTCGTCGTCCTCCTGCGCGGCCTCGTGGATCTGCGCGTGGATTTTGCCGATCTCAGTGGCCATCCCAGTGTGCACGACGAGGCAGATTGCGCTGCCATTGACGACGGTGGTGCCGGCGAAGACCATACACTCCTTGGCCTGGATGTCGGCGTCGTCGTGGGGCACTTGGTGCGCGGTCTTGTTGACGGAGGCGGTCTCGCCGGTGAGGGAGCCCTGCTCGACGCGGAGCGTGGAGGTGACGAGGCGGAGGACGCGCATGTCGGCGGGGACCTTGTCACCGACGCGGAGCTGGACGATGTCGCCCGGGACGAGGTCCCGCGCGGGGAGGCTGGGTAGCCAGTCGCCGTCGCGGAGGACGGCGGCGTGGTCGGACTGGATCTCGCGGAGCGCCTCGAGCGCCTTCTCGGCGTTGGTCTCCTGCCAGACACCCACGGCGGCGTTGACGACGAGGATGAGGAAGATGACGAGCGGCTCGACGAAGGCGGAGAGCGTGACGGCGCCGGCGGAGGAGGAGAGCGCGAGCGCGAAGGAGACGGCGGCGGCGGCGAGGAGGATGCGGACGAGCGTGTCGTCGAACTGCTGCGCGACGAGCTGCAGCAGCGTGGGTCCCGGGTGCTCGGCGAGCTCGTTGGGGCCATGCGCCCGCAGCCGTGCCGCCGCCTCCCGCGACGACAAGCCCCGCGACGCCGAGACCCCCAGCCGCGCCTCGCACTCCTCCACGCCCCGCGCCCACGCCGGGAACACCTCCACCTCGACGCCCTTCTCCGGCGGCGGCGGCGCGTCCTGCCCGGCCTCGCCCATCGTGATCACCACCACCACCACCTCACCTCAAACAACAATGCGGGGGGAAGAATTCCCAGTCCACGACGCGATCGATCTGCGCGTCGGCGAGAAGAAAAACCAAACTGAATCGGGGACCTCGCCCTCGCCGCCGCGGCGTCTTTATAAATACTAACTAACAAATAAAAATATCCCGAGAAATCCTCGGGCGAAGAGACGCGATCTCTTCTTCCTCCACTCCACACGCGCGCGCGTGCGACGTCGGGACTCCCAAAATCACAACCAATCTCTCCCTCTCGCGCCGCCGCCGCGCAAGACAGAGACACAGCCCAGAGTCCTCCCCTCCTCCTCCTCCTCCACCACCGCCAATGCCGGCCGGAGTCGGGGAAGAAGGATCGAGAGTGGTGTGGGTGTGGGTGGTTGCGGTGGGGGCTACGAGTGGTGGTGGTGGGCAGGTGTGAACGGCATGCGGGGCTCTTGTGCTACTAGTAGTATTTGCAGGGGAGGGGAGGGCGGTGCAGCAAATGAAATCTGCAATGCGGTGTGTGAGAGGGAGAGAGTTGAAAAGAGGGAAGGTGACGCAGTGGCGACGGGAGGAAGGTGGCACGAAGCTTCGCGAGGCGGCTGCAATTACAAAAAAAGAAAAAAGGAAAAATGTCTCGGTGACTCGGTGATGCGGCAACACTCAACCGCTCGCTGGATCGCTGCGGTTCGATTTCGATGCGTTGCGTTGTGTTGCCTCCGGTGAGGTGTCGTCGCCACGGGGCAGCAGCAACCAACAGCGTTCAGAGCAGCCAGCACCGTTGGTTTCGCATCCTTCTCAGCTCCTACCAGGGTTTCCCAAAACCGCCTGGGGCCGAGGCTACCGCGCCCCAGCGGTAGACACGATTACCACGGTAACCGTGAAATCATACAAAACCGTGTAAAATTTATCAAACATTTAAATTATTTTTTAAATTTATTTGAATCTAAGAAGGTTACCACGTATTTATATTACTGTACTCCGCGGTAAGCCCGGTAACCGCGCGGTTACCAGCGGTAACGTAAACCTCGCTCCTATCTCTTTGTTGACCTTAATTTAAACTGTTAAACATTACTTTTCCAAAATAAATTTATAAAAATTTACTTAAAAACATCATATTAATTTTTTTAAGCTTATACTTAATTAATATACTATAATAACTATCATGTTTTACATTCAGAATAGATAAATTTTTAGTGTGTACGAAGAAACACAGAAAAACCGCCTCACGATATTCTCATTTCGTTGGATCCAAATGGGTGAAATCTAGATAAATCTTATAAAAAACTAAAATTTTAGTTTCATTTTTTTAGACTTGGTCGAAAAACCGAGCAATTTATGATCGTGACATGGTTCGAAATGCCGGACCGGTAAAAATTGTTAACACTGTACAGCAGCCAAGTGGCACGCACGCACCTATACCTATCTGATGTGCTAGGTGAAGGCGAGTAGAGTTGGAGGACTACGGAATTGAGGAACGAAAAAGGCAGTGATTTTGCTTTGGTTTGGGTTTGCTTTTTCTATGATTTGTCCACTCTTTTCCACTCCAATGGAATCATATCATACTACTTCCATGACCATCCATTCATTCATTCATGCAGCTCCCTGGATTGTTTTTTTTTTGGTTGGCGTCTTTTCCACGCGCAGTTTGTGCTTGTACACCAAGATTGAACGATTTATTTTCCTCTTCTGTTTTGCATATATCAATAGAGGTTCATGGATATTCTGCTAATTAACCCATACAATTTGTCTGTATCAAGAAAGGCAAACGGTAGGAAATAGTAAACACGTGTAAAGCTGATTATGTACTCCTACTTCTTATGTTGTTTCTCTTTAATTTGGAGAAAAACATAGGAATTTTGGAGGATTTCAATCCTATAGGAAAATTTCCTATGAAGCTCTTTAAAACAAAGGATTTGATCATATCCAATCCTTTGAAATTTCTATGGAATGGACAATCCTATAGAGATTTTGGAGGAAATTTAGCGGAGCTTTAACCTCTTGGTATTTTTCCTTTGAGTCTATCTCTCTCGTCCAATTCCTACGTTTTTCTTGCGGTTCAATTAAACGGTCATTCCTGTGTTTTTCCTGCGTTTTGCAATCCTCTGTTTTACACTTACATTCCAATTAAAATCCTACGTTTTTCCTATTTTTACGTTTTCTCAATCCTGCGATTTAAAGAGGCCCTAAGTGAAATAGTGAGTAGTGCTATATATGCACTACATTTCTTAACCATTTTGTTTAGTTATTAAAAGCCAAGATGCAATCACATTTCTTAGCTGGTCATACTCTAGCTAATAAAGCCAGGTGTGAGTCCCTTACGGACTCTGGCCGCATGGAAGTTGTAATTCCATTTCTCACCTTGTGTGGGAGGACAATTTAGCTGAGTAATCAAAGTTCTTGTTCCCCGCGAAAAAAAAAGCCAAGATGCAATCACATTTTACTACATCAACTTTTTAAGAGAGTTCATAAGAAAAAAAATGTATATCATTTCTCTTTTATTATTTGACCGTTGATTTAATTGAAACCATCTAGATTAGATATTCGCAACATAAATCTCAGTAATTTTGTCATCGAATTATTTTTTTCACAATACTATATTTGTTAGCACATAGCCCGTACAAAATTGTAAAAGAATATAACCAAAACTAGCATTGAAAAGCACGAGAAAATGATCATTATTTAGAATCAACCATTAGGGTTGCGTTCGGGAGTGAGGGTGGCACGGGAAACAGAGTAGCGATTAGCGCGTGATTAATTAAGTATTTACTATTTTTTTAAAAAATGAATTAATATGATTTTTTAAGCAACTTTCGTATAGAATTTTTTTAAAAAAAACACACCATTTAGCAGTTTGAAAAACGCACGTGTTAAAAACGATGCAGGACTATAGCGTAGTACTAGAGCGTGGGATAGATAACGAATTGTTATGTAAAAATAAACCAGCGTGTGGCTACGAATATGCGCATCCAAACGCCGAGGTTTCTCATTATTTTTGTCCATATGCCTCCTTGAACTGGTTGCAAATTGCAATAATAAAACGCAAGAAACTGCATGGATCCTTCCTCCTCCTGCATCTGCATGTTTAATTACAGAAGCTGACGTCTTCAACAATCCTGCTGCCGTTGTAGTAGTAATCACTAATCACACATCATTGTAAAGCACACTCCGGAATTGACCCCAGAGTTGTTGCCTTCTTGCCTTGACCTGCCTTGCTCCCACACCTTTACATGTGGGCCCCACCTCCAGGATTTCCATGTGGGCCCCACAGACAAGGACACACCAAAGGTGTGTACCATAGGGCTAGTGCGCCATCTTGTTGGAGGGTGCACAGAAAGGCGCTACAGTGAATACCATTTCTAATGTCTTTTTTTTCTTCTTCTGACTTTTCTCCACTTCGTCATCTTGGCCAATGGGTGCTTGACACGTGGGATATGGAACAGGAATTTTTTTAAAAGAAAAAGAAATATGGGCACAATGATAATTATTTTTTTGTTCCTTTTTCTTTTGATTTTCTTTTGAGGGACCAGCAGTTTTATGTTCTTTATTGCTTGATGGTGAATGGTGGATGTATACAGACTTACAGAGGGCTAGCTGGATTTGAGAAAATGAAACCCCCCATTTGTGAAATATTTTGGACATTATAAATAGGCTCATCTAGCAAAGTCAGAGCTTTCAGTGCTTAATTAACTAATAGTGACACTATCAAGGAGAATGTCACCTGCCTCGAATTATTGGTGGAAAAGCTTTCCTTGACGCAATAGACCTTAGTTAAACTTGACAATATATTATTTCAGTAGTCCTGTTCAAGCAATGCATGGATATGTTTGTATTTGTGTATTCAAAACGTACTACTACTAGTACTAGTATCTTCAAAACAATTACAACTTGTAGAAGTGATGACAAAACTATTGGTAATTGGGTAGAGTCTAATCAAAAGCTCATAGTATGCATATCCTATGTTATCTGAATTTCTGAATACGTGTACTTTTTACTCTCTATTTTTACAATTTCACATTAGGATTTTTTTTCCAATTACCGGCAATTTCACACATATATAATCAAATAATTAATATTATGTATAGCTTCTTGGATATAGAAGAACATTTGCATGTACATTTGAGAAGGGGTTTCTATTTGCGAAAGAAGGGTGTTCCTCAAATCATCAAAACAAAATTTGTAATTTTGATTTGTCCCCGGCAATGCAACAAGCACAAAATTCTGCCACATCCTTTTCCAAGAATCAGCAAGCAGCACCATCACGCTTTCAAATATTCTCCAGAAAAGATTATTGGATTAAACTTTTATATACATGTTCTTAGCAATTTAATCAAACAACTAGCTCCTCGGATACATAGAACATTTGCATGTACATTTGAGAAGGGGGTCCTAAAATTATCAAAAACTATTGTAAATTTGACTTGCCCCCGGCAATGCAACAGGCACAAAATTCTTGCACATCCTTTTCCAAGAAGAATCAATAAGCATCACCTATCATGCTTCAAATAATCTCCAGAATTTCTGCACAAGAAAAGATTGATTGATGGAGTAGTAGCTAGGTAGATGGACAAAGAAAGGCCCCAGCTGGAGACTTTGGAACAATTGCCGGGTTCTCTAAAAATTTGTTTCTTGTACAAGTCTAACAAGTAGAGCATGGTGTCACACGTCGTCTAGAGTCTGGACGCAAGAAGACGACTATGGAGATAGATAGAGATTAACCCAATTTTCCAAAGACTTTGATAGATGGACATACAGGGTCAATGCTTGCAGCTTTGCATGCTTGTCTTCTTCTCCTTGTGTCAAAAACATCCTTGTCTTCGTCTAGTGTACATTGATTGATACAGTTTTATGGGAAAGAGACTATTATTTATTTGACCCCGTTTTGAGCTGTAACTATCAATTTAACCCTACTTTTTTTATAGTTTGTTTATTTGACCCTCTTTTTCAAAAATAAAGCTCTCGTCTAACCCTCTTTTCACTACTCTGTTAAGGTTGGATT